CTGCGGATCCTGCCACCTCCGGGGTGGTGGGGATGGGGATGGGGGGTGTCACCCGAAAGGCGTGTGAGTGGTGTTGCATCCACACCCCCTCGCACTAACTCCTTTAGCATCTTGGACTCTTGATTTTCTCATGTGAACTGGATCCTATGACTTTCTAATAATACAAGGCATGCAGTCTTTGACAGATGTCTGCTGCTGATAGGCCTTCATGCAAACTCTCAGCAGGTTTGGGTGCTTTGAACCAGAAGACCAAACGAACAGACAAAGTCTGTCAAAATATGGCTGAATTATTGCTCATTGCGGTCAGTAGCTTAGTATCAAAGCAGCATTTTATGCTATGAGGCGTTTAATCAAATTCAGTGGGGTTTTTTTCATACTGCATCATAGCAACTTGAGTTTCTCTGTAAAGCATTGGATGTCTAAGGCTTTTAGAAACAGCATTGGTTAGGAGCAGTAGTGTCTGTAGTCAGCCAGTCAGAGGGGAGTTGCTCTGGAGATGCATCAGAAGGAAATTAGAGCTCTTGAAATGTTAAATAACCAAAACTGGTTGTAGATATCTAATCCTCCTAAGTATTTTATGTATTGTTGATAGGCCAAACTGTATGCTGATCAGGCCTTTAGACATGGGCTGCTTCATTACATGGTGGAAAATGTAGGAGAGAGAAAATGAATTTGTCTCTACAAACAATGTAGTGGAAAATATAAGAAGCACAAGGTTTGGCAATACAGAGTAACATTTATTACAAAATGTATCAGAGAGCTGAAAAATTTTGCGACTGAAGTTAGTAAAGTAGAAGCAACTGCAAGAGAGAATAAAAATCCTCTGCTTTATATATATTTGAACTATTTTTCTCTGTCTTGACTTCAGACTTTATATAACTGTGATAGTTTTTTAATCACTATATGCTAGCCCTTTCACGTGCCTCCTGTGTCTGTCAGTAAAGACCAGGGTTTCCCATGGGTGACCTCCTTTGTAACAGTCTAAGGTCCCATTCCTTATGTGTCCTACATGTATGTCTGTTGACTGCTGCCCACAGGTTTGATACCTGTGCTGATAGCCTTGCCGTCTGATCCCCTGCGGTGGATTTGACTCTCCACCGGTGCTGGGATAGCCTGCTTTGGACTTGTGAGCCTACCTGAACAGTGCATCTCCCACTGTGGGACTGTGTTTTATAACCAGTGGTGGGATTTGGCTTGGCTATCAGGGAATGTGAACAAGTAGGGATTGCCGGGGCCCATTTCTTTGGGTTGTCCCCAGGCTCAGCTGTATGCTCAGTGCTGCCCAGCAGCGGAGGTGCAGAACGGCTGGGGAAGCCACAGTCCCTTCCCAGCCGCAGGCTCTGCGCAGGGCACCCTGCCGTCCCCTCCCGGGACTCCCCAACAGGCAAGGTGTGAGAGCTGTGGCTGCTGGCCGTACAAAGTTTTTGCTCTGAGGGTGAGGACTTGTGCCTCCGCTTACAAGCATGGTGTTCAAAGTACATTGTTTTCTAAAAGCACTTTCACACTTGCAGAAAAATGTTCAAGCCCTGTAGCAGAGAGAAAGACAGAGAATTATGCCAGGTCTTTTTCTTTGTCTCATGCATTAAACTGAATAAATGCAGTACATTCAAAATAGTGTGTTCAGCATTGTTATGAAAACGTGAAATACCAGTATTCAGCCTCATCAGTGAATCGAAGCTGAAGTACGTAAAAGTCATCTGAATGTGTGCAAAGCTGGCTATTGTTTTCCTTTTCTAAGAGCTAAACTTCCCCTCTCTCTGTTTTGCATGCTTTCAAAATCACCTATCACAAGGTCTCCTGGTACTTCCTGATGCCAAATGGTTTGATTCTGATTAGCTGGCAGGGTTTTATTTGTATTTCTCAGTTTTACTCCCAAGGAAATGTTTACTACTTAAAATCAAAACTGAAAACATTGAACGATAAAAATGTTGATTTATCTGTGAGCAAAGTGTTTCTACTGCAATGTACATCATGTTGCTATCCAGGAGCAAATTACACAGGAAATTATAGCGTAACTAGTGTCATAAGTTTCATTGTTGCTTTTTAAGTATAAGTTTCTAGTGAAGTCTTAGCTTTTAGGGTATGCAGCTATAATATCGTAGCCCAGGATTCAGGGGCAGTATTTAGGTCTTAAATCTAAGAGCTCATTAAATTACACAATTATTGTAATTCCGCCTTCACAGCCTGCTCTGGCTATGTTAGCCTATAGTTTAGGGACTACTGAAAGGTGATTCCTTGTTTTGTGCTCCTCATGTTCGGTGTCTTCTAGATTTGCCACCACAGCTAATGTTGGCAGGAATGTCAGCAATGTCATCAAGATGACAATGTCATCAGGATAACAATGCTTGACAATCAAGATCAATGTCGGCAAGAATCCACTGGACATTGTATAAAAAACAGGCTTAGTGAACTGAGATATCATCCAAAAGTGCTGTTTACATGACGTTTTACAAATATAAGACTGCCAGAAACAGGGAGCTTCAGTGCCCCATTCTCACGAAATGCTCTCTCGTGCTGTTGCTGTAGCTATGGAATTGCTGGGTCTACCAATGTGACAGGAGATCAAGTAAAGAAGTTGGACATCCTTTCCAATGACCTGGTGATTAACATGCTCAAGTCATCCTTCAGTACATGTGTTATCGTGTCGGAAGAAAACAAAGATGCTGTGATAGTGGAAACTGAAAAAAGGGTTAGTAGATTTAAAGGTTCTCCCTGCTTGATTTCAAATCAGCCTTTACAGGTGTACTGCTTCAGATCTGAGAAACTGAAACCGCGCTAAGAATTTCAGAAAACGTACTTTTCTATATTGGCAAATGAAGGGGGGGGCGGAGAGGGGGACTGGTGGAGAGAGTGTCAGTCAACATTTGTCCTTTCTCTTATTTCTGCTCTCGAGACTGATGTTTGTTGTTTTTATTTTTTTTCTCTGTTGTTCTTCCCCACTTTCTTTTTTTGCCATGATTTCCTAATTGTGGAGGAAACTTATTTCTTGTTTATCCCATCTGATCTCTGGAACTGTGCTCTGAATCAGTCAAGCCCCTTTGTAAAGTAGCCTTGTCAGCAGGACACTGAGGAGCTGTTCTGTGCAGGTCAAATCTGGAGTTCTTTAATTCAGGCAAATTCTCCCTGAAGCTCATAAAAGACTTAGCAACAATGAAACAAAAATAACTTTTACTTATTTATAATTTATTATTCTTTATATTCACAAGTCTGCCTGCACTTGTTGAGTGATAGTTCCTTTTTCTTAGCTAGCATTTTGGTGTGGTCATGTAAAAATCTGAGTAAAAATTTAGTGAGAACGAATAACTAAAACATAATTTAGAATGTATAATAATGTTTGTTTTGTCAAAGCCATTCTCTCTTTCTCTCCCTGTTGAGAAATCTTCAAAATTGATTTTATGGGCACCGGATGAACAAAGATTGTTTTAGAGCTGAACAAATATGATCCTCAAAGGTCACTGAGGGAGGCTCAGTGTTGATGCTTTTCTAAACTAAATGTGAGCTAATACGGTGTTTTTATCAGAATTCCTACCCAGAATGCCTACCTGCAGAGTGGAGCATTGCTGGACTTAAATAAGTTTCTGGCATGCAGAGTGAAATCAAACAAAAAGCGAATAAACGCTTGCTGTTGTTACATGTGATTATTAAAACGACTATGGATAAAATAAGGGGAAAACAAGCTGTTTAAAAGGTACAGTTGATTCAGCTGTTTTTCCTATACTGGCAATTTCCTGTACCTACAGGAATCCGTAATACAGCAACAGGCAGGGACCATTCTTTTTTGCAGGGTGAAAAACCCCCCAAAACCAGGATAAGACCACAGACTGGCTAAGGTAATTTCTAAGCATCTGTTAATTCAGTGCACAGAGTTTCATTAAGGATTTTAAAGCGGAACATGCAGTAAAGTGAAATGCATAGTTTATGAATGTCAGCTGTTAAAGGCCTTTTTAATCTCTCTAATTTTAACGCTACGTGAAAAAGGCTGATCTTCATTTGTCTTTTTCCTTATAATTCAGAAAGCTGTTTTGTTAGAGATGAGAAAGTGTAGCCTACATGGTAGATATTCCAGGATGTCTATCAAAATGGATTGGCATTAGTTAAATAGATGAAGCTAAACTAATAATGAAAAACTATTCTTTTTTTTTCTTTTTAACATTAAAAATTGCATAGGAAAACTTCACCTTTTCCATCTCATCATCTATTGCTTACTTTAAAGATTTCCCAGCTTCTGCTGTGGCCCAAATCACACAGTTGTAGTCAAGATGAAACCTGGGCCAGAGAATTTCTAACATTTTAATTCCGTTCCTTTATAATCTATAAAAGCCTTTTAGTTTATCTTGCTTTGAAAGTCTCTGAGAAAACTTACCTACTGAAGTATTTTTATTTGGGGGAAGTGGGTAAATAATGTCACTAATCTAGTTCCCTCTTTTGTATTTTCTAGGGTAAATACATAGTCTGCATAGACCCTCTAGATGGCTCATCGAACATTGACTGTCTTGTTTCCATTGGGACCATCTTTGCCATCTATAGAAAGGTAAACTGCTTTCATGTAGGAGACAAAAAACTATTATTGTGCAGCTTTTGATGAGATATAATTGCATGTGAAGGCTTAATAAAATCTAACTAAACTTGTTTGTGGAAGAGACTTTCAGGACCAGCTTTAAGTTAAATCTGCTATTTCACAGACACTTGTATAAAATATTTGTGAGGGATTTGCATTACTCTCTTAGAAGATGAGGTACCTATACGTACATGGAAGCCTGGCTGATATTTAATTAGCCAGCTCCCTTACAAAAAACATCAGGTCTTAGATTTCATGAATATTTGTGTTGAGAAAAAATACCACGTGGTTGTCATCTACTTGGGGAATGTGTTTTCAGATTTTCTTGTTCTCTGTACTAATAGTCCTGTTAGCCTGAGGACAGGCTTCAAACACAAACCAGAGCTGAAACATGGCATGTGCATTTGAAGTGTCTAATTCACTTTGAAAGGCAAAAACCTTGTCTGAAGGAGCTTGAAATACCAGACTTACATGTCACAAGATGGGGGAAAAAGTAAGTCGGATAAAACACACCCAACTGTCCATTTTAATCATCTTTTGTATGTGTCATACATCCCAAAGTAAATATTTTCAACTTAATTTTTGTATGAAGCAAAAGAAAACAAAAAAATGCCAAGTATTTTTGATCACCTGTGAACTCCGTGAGTCATGTTTCATTGCTTGCTTTTCAACTGTGCCTCGGAGTTTTCCTCTGAGCTGTGTTCATCATCACCTACATGGAGGTACACAGCTCTATATTATCTCCTTAATCCTTTCCTGTTTCCTGCATTCCAACTAGGCTTATACAAGAGCATTTCTATATCAATGTGTTTGTTTCCTCTGTATAATTTGTATTAGTGCATCCACTAGGAATCTCACTTGTGGGTCATGGAAGCATTTGTGCCACCTCATGCAGGGATATGGAGTAGAAGACCGTCCCTCTCCCAGAGAATCCAGTTATGTACCGACTGTAGAAACGAAGTAAAGTTGACTATGCTCCTTCTTATTCTAGATGTCCCCTGATGAACCTTCTGGGAAAGATGCTTTACAACCCGGGCGTAATCTTGTGGCAGCTGGTTATGCTCTCTATGGGAGTGCCACAATGCTGGTACTGGCCACTTCTGCTGGAGGCGTCAACTGTTTCATGCTGGATCCGGTGAGAATGTCTTCTGTTTCTTTGTTCCTTTATTAGGTATAACAAGGTATTGTCCATAAGAACGGTTTGTTGCCAAAAAAATCACACAAAGGAGCAATTTTCAAGCTAACGTGGAGAAGTGAAGTACCCTTAATAACCCATCAGCAATAATGTCAAGAGATTTTTGCATTCTGCCTGCCCGCTATGTGTGATTCAACAATGTGAAAACAGCCGAGTCAGTGAAGCAAATATACAGCATGTGCCAAATCATGTGATATTTAAACTGAGCTGTTTTCTGCAATGCAGAATGCCCTTTAAGACTTGTTTGTTTCTTCCTTAATGCTAGGACCTTAGTAAACCAGAGAAGCAGAAATATTTAATCTTCTTCTGTATTTTCAGATCCCACCATGATGTGTAAAAGAGTAAGTGACGTGTGTGGGTGTGTTTGATGTTCTAGCACACATTAACCGTATGAATTTTAAAATAAAAATCATATTGATCATAGCAGAAAGTAGTTTGCTTTAGTGACCTGTTTTTTTGTAACCAGTTAGTCAGGCTGTGCCACCTGCCAGTATTAAATTTTTAGAACCTGCAGTAGTCAAGCAGCAGGAAATACAACTTGGTGCTCCCTGTTAAGTGACAGGCTTGAGTAGCTGCATGTATTTTTGTCCATATTCAGATTGCAGATTTAACTTTGAGCATGCGTGCATGTTATTTTGTTTATTTTTAGCACTAACTTGCAAATTTACTTAGTGAAAACTAAACAGACCAACCCTTGGTTACAGAGATTGGCTCTCTTGACTCCAGGCTTCCAGTTAGCCCAAGCTAAGAGAAACTGGAATTTATTAATATCGACAGCTGTTTGAAGATGTTTATGCATTGCTTCAACCGGCACTCTCAGTTTTCGAACTCCTCAGAGCTGTACTTTTATTGTAAGCCTAGCAAAAGAGTGGAGAGCTAAATAACTTTACAGGCAACAGCATTTTTTGGCATAGAAAAGTGATAGAGAGCTGGGAATGGTAGTGTGAAGAAGGTTGCATGACCCTAGGATTCATGCTCTGTCTGTGTTTTATGGATAAACAAAACACTTCACATCTAGACTGCAAATAGCCACTTTTTCGTAGGTACTGAATTATTAAAGAAGGTGGCAGCTGCAGTAAATTTTTCCCAAATTGTGTGTATGATTGGTTTTTGCCTTGACTTGTAAATAAATGAGAAATTAACGTTAACAAATTGTTTTTCTTTCTTATTGTTAGGCAATTGGAGAATTCATTTTGGTGGATAGGGATGTGAAAATCAAAAAGAAGGGAAATATCTACAGTCTCAATGAGGGCTACGCTAAATACTTTGATCCTGCAGTCACAGAGTATCTCAAAAAGAAGAAATTCCCTGAGGTAAAAGACCCTGTTTAAGAGAAACTTTGTGATGACAAGCAAAACTCGTAATTTCCAACTTTACGATCAATCACTGTCTCATGCACTGTTCAGAGCTTGTTTTCCTTTCTTGTCTATTTAAAATGTATCTTCATGTAGGTCTGATAATTAGAGCAGCAGTTGATGTGACCAGATATTTTACCATCCTTCAGTATTGCACTGCACCTCTTTCATATTTTTTGTTCCTTTCTTTCTTTTTTCTTTTCTTCTTTTTTTTTTTTTTTTTTAATCTTCCTTCCTGGCTGGGGGCCTGAGTAGTGGTGCTGGCGGCAAAACTGGGCATTTGGTAGTCAAGTAGAGAGGAAGTCTTATTTGGTGATGAAGAAATTTGATCGACACGTGTGTTAGATTGCTGCTTCCTCGCTGCAGCGTCCAAGTAGACGGAGAGCCGCGTGGGGATGGCCGTGGGTCATTGCTCAGTGGTAGCACTGGCTGGGTCCTGAGGGGGCTTCTCACTTGAAAAGCTAGTGTAGTTTCAGGGTCCGCTTTGTGGTCGTGCAGTTTCCTGGTGTCAGGAGGCCTGAAGCTCTGCCCGTAAAAATCGTGTCTGTTCTCATGCCTTACGCCTGTCATCAACGCAGTTATTACGTCGACAATGAAGTGTAAATATTTACTATTGTTAAGTGTTTGTGTCCCTTCTTAACTTCCTGATCTTGCTTTGAACAAAGACTGGTGTTTTCATCTGGCATTGTGCCAGGCTTAAGGTGTTATTTATTTAGATATTAAAATGTACTCTCTGGAGTATAATAAGGAAATAATATCAGTAGTCAACTAGTAACTTTTTTGTACCAAAAAAGTTGTACGAGCTGGCAAAAATGGGTAGAAGAAGTAGGAGAAATAACTTCTTTTGCTCCTTGATATTTTTTTCTGCTACAAAAGGAAAAACCCCAACATCAATTCCTAGCACTTGATCTTTTTGCTACTAGAAATGCAGAATTTTCCAGGGGTTAGAGCACCGATGGAGAGCTGGGATGCATTTTCTATTGTTGGCACTGCCACTCACCTATGCTGAAATCTTCTGTCCGTCCTTTTCCTTGGATTTTCCCAATTAGAAAATGAGGAGGAAACTGAAATTTTCTCCAAAACTATTTTGAATATTATCAATGAATCGCAATATGGAGGAGTGAGATGTTAGGACCACTAAGGGCGGGGAGGGGGGAGATTACCCTGATGTGCTCAAAAGTTACGTTTACTTATATGTTTTTCTGTAGGATGGCAGTTCACCATATGGTGGGAGGTACATAGGATCTATGGTGGCTGATGTGCATCGCACGCTGGTGTATGGAGGAATCTTTCTGTATCCTGCTAACTCCAAAAGTCCCAAAGGAAAGGTAAACCTGAATAAGCCCAGTTATAGAAAATGTTACATTATCTAGATGTTTCACTATGACAGATCAGTATTTTGACTGCAGAACATGTTTTTTATAACTTGGTAGCTTGCATCACTGGTGTGTGGGTACGGCCACCCCTTACACACTGTCACGAGTGACAGCAACCTGTTGTCAGACACCTATCTTAGGGCTGCTGCTAACCTGTTTCAACTGTACTGACTTCTCTTTATCCCCAAACATATTCAGATTATGGAACGTACCAGGGGATGTGCTGTTCAGACAGGCTTCTCTGTACCATCTCAGCCCAAACAGCGCTGCCCCCAACCAAGCGAAACATTTCAAAGCAAAGGAAACAACCCGCATTACCCTGAGATTCCTATTACAAGCTAGGATGTAAGAAGCCTAAATGTAGTGCGCCCCTTACTAGATGCTCTGCCAAAGAGAAAACCACTTGCATCTTGTACTTGGTAACACAGCCTCATCTGGAGGAACTATGCCTGGCTGCCTCTGCCAGGACGACAGTCACTCGGGGAAGGTCAGACACTTAGAGGCTGACAGGGGGACTGTTTATTTAGCAAAGACCTTTCATCTGTTTTGTAATTGTCCGTAAATTATTGCTTCAGGTTGCAGATAAGATGCAGTTATTTATTAGAGAAACCTAATGGCACACTCGGGGCCAGTGTTTTTCTTTCTTTTCACACAGGCCTACGTGGTGTGCTGCCTTGTTAAAGGTTGTGTCTTACATACGAGCTTTATCTCTGTGTAAAGAGCACAATGTAAACATGAGATATGGAGAAAGCACTCATATTAGGCAAATCCAGTATTCACTGCGTTCTGCTTAAAAGAACACAATTTCATTTTTGAGTCAAAGTTTATATGAAATATGGAGTACTTGGAGTGTTGATTGGTTTTAAATCAAATGCCAAATATATTTACATTCCATGATTCCAAGCATTGCCTGGGCTGACGATTGCCATTTTGATTTTTGTCTTCTAGCTGAGACTTCTCTACGAATGCAATCCTATGGCGTTTGTTATTGAGAAGGCTGGGGGAATAGCAACAACTGGGCATCAAGCAATACTAGATATAGTGCCTGAGGATATCCACCAAAGAGTGCCTGTTGTCTTGGGATCTCCTGATGATGTGAAGGAGTACCTTGAGATAGTCAAGAAGCATTCAGCTAAGTAAAGAAAGCTTGCTGCAGTCACTGTGCGGATGGGAAGAAATGCCTTTCAGCTCAACCAAAGAACCTGCTGCAGTACTGCAAGACTGAACTGCCTGACCTCTGTAGCAGGAAAGCAAATGAGCCATATTTTCATAAGATTTTTTAGAAGTGAAATCTTGTGCAATTGCACTGTGCAATGAAAGGCATTAAAAGATCACATTAAAGGAAGCACTAAAATTAAAAGCAAGGGAAAAGTATGTTTGCTTTTTCATTTATCATTTGTGATTACATAAAAGCCACTGTGCTACAACGAACTACTGCATTGCATTCAATAACTAGGGGAAGACTCAACTTTCTCAGACAAGCTACAGACTATTACCAGAGTGTCTGACTCTGTCCTCTTCTAAAAATCTTAGGGGGGGGAAGTCTTGCAGCCTCTTACAGTGAGTGACCTTTCTTTTTACACTAGACTGACCAGTGTCTAGTTCTTTGGCAATAAATATAAATGCTAATGTGGACACCTTCACACGTTGTTTCTAGTCCCCAGAAGTTACTTATTGTACTTCAGTCTGGGCTTATTCTGACCAAGAATTAACATTTGTGAAACATGTATGTTAGTGTGTGTTACTTCTGACACATACTGTCAATATTGCCAGTTGGCACTTTATCAGATCCAGTTACAGAAGGATGGAAAATGACATTTTGGTGTTGGATTTTCAATTGGATAACGAGCATGTGTAGACAGGTTGGTACCATTCTGCTGTGATGAGCTGGCTATATTTGCCAGAAATTAACCTGCTTGCTTGATGAAAAAAAGGAACCTATGTGTTGCTAGCAACCCCCACCGGGTGTTCTTTGTGTTATTTTGGGAGTGTGCATTATCATGGAAAAGGATTCTGCTGCGCAAGCAGAATTAAGTTGCGAAGATCCCCACAAAGCATACTGACATTTAATATGCTGATTCAGAGCATGCTGCTGGGAACACGTTAGTGCTTGGGAGCTAGACGGGCTCTCCACCTGTCTGGGTACAGTTTATGGCCATGGCTCACCAGCTTTTTGAATCAGTCCAAAACTGCAAGCCTTTGACATTTCTCACTGCCCATTTACCTTCGCCGAACTCAAACTAAGGGGCATGTGGATGTCGCTGTTGGGTAGAGTGCCACTGAACATTCACTCAAGCCATGGTCTGGGAGCCCCTGTCTGTGGGTGCAATGAGCTATGCATCTGCTCGTCTGAGGATTTTGGATACATCAGTGCGGGTGGCCTGTCTGAGCTTGGTTCTTCTTGTAAAACAAGAAGAAAAGAGTGTGGGGGAAGCTAGAGGCCATGGTGCGAAGGCGTGCTCTGTGAGCGCTCACACACAGAAAAACCTGGGGGCCCTTGTTCTGACGCAGCTTGTGTTTGGGGCATTTGGAGGCATGCTGGCAAACCTTAGATATGCATCTGTTCTCCAAAGTGATAGGGGACAAGGTGTTTCTGCCAGGGACTGAATAGCCTAGTTTCTGCTGAAATGCTGTTTCCGATGAGGCTTTGTTAGTAAAGACAGGGCTTTCAGGGACCTGAGCCCTTAAAGGATTTGGACAGATCTGCACTGAGCTCTCCTTCTGCTGGTGCACTTGCTTTTCAGGGCCTAAATCTGGCCCTGCACAGGATCGGGCTCCTCCGTAGGCCAAACTCTGCTCTGGGAAACGAGCAGGCCATGGCTTACGTACTTTGTCTGATATGCACCTGCAAAATCAGGCACCCCACAAACAGCAACCATACTGTCTAATTTCTGATTAATTCCCCTCTGGGAGAAGGCTCAAACCCACATCTCCCAGCGGGGTGCCCTTGCTGCCAGTCTGGGGGTCAGCCTGGAAGGAGAGGGTTGACTGTCCGGAGCTGTGAGCGCTGTGCCATGACGTGGGAGAGGACTTCATGCAACCAGAGAGGGAGTGGAACAGCTGTGTGCTGGGGGACTCCTGTGGCCCGGGCTTTTCTTCACAGGCTGCTCCTTCTTGCGCTAGGACCTACGCTGCTTCCTCTGCCCCTTCATGTGAGCAGCCGACCACTGGGATGTGGCCATGCTCTCACTTTTGTAAAAGAAAAAAAATTCAATCCTTGCATCTGTTTTGTCTTTTCATCGTGATTTCAAAAGAAACAGCAAGTGTCTCTCAGTTTTTGATGAGGAGGGAAGGTGCTAGGAGCGGCTAGAGATGCCTACCTCACACTCTGAAACACTTCCCAAAGGAATTGCATATTCCTATCCAGAGCATCTCCTTGCTTGCTGGCTCTAGCACATAGCCCATAGCACTTTTAAAAGCTCCAAGCTCACTAAATCAGCTACAGCAGGCAGCATGCTGAGAAGGACTCTAAACCTCTCTGAGGTTCTGGATGCTGCTCCTAGAGGAAAGTGCATGACTATTGTTGTCGTGCACAACTTTTTTAGATCCTTAAGTTTTTAATTTGGCCATTCCACAGAGCCGTAGCTGGACACATTTTTGTATTTAATACACTAAGCAGAGGATAGTCGGAAGCCCTTACAGCTTTTCTCCAGCTTTCCATGTATCAGTTTGGACTACAGTGCCTCACTAGTCTGTTGGCACAACTTGACAGACGGTATCCACAGCAGCCATTTCTGTCTAGTTATAGTAATTCCTCGGCTGTATTCTGCCCTCAGGGTCTTCAGGAATCCCTGGGCTGCATATATCTATTTTTAAGACACCATACTGGCAGCAGGTAAAGGTTATAGAAGGTAAGGCAATACTGCCTGTGTTTGCTAGTGTTTCGGTTTTGGGTGTAGACTGACATTTTATGCTTAGCATTTTTCACATTGTGAGCTGGGTTTTTCTTTCTATCTGTAAATACGTAAGCCCACATTTGATCGGCATCTCCCTGTAGCCACCAGCGGGGAGAACTATTCAGTAATCTCCTCCCACAGCCCCTTTCAGAGCTCGTCCTCTCTGTCGACGAGGGGCGGGAGGGTTGGTTTGTCACAGGGTCCAGCTCCAGCCCCCGTGGCGTTACTAACCACTGCCCCGCTCGGAGGATGAACTGTGGCATTTGGCGAAAGGTTGCTGGCTCCAATTTCAGCCGGCACCATTCAAGCGACTAACATTTGAAATCAGTTAGAAGAGGTGTCACCTTTAAGGCACAGGGCTAGCCTATATGCCAGTGGAAGTGTGAATCATCCCTGAGAACTCTTGTGTAATCTTTACATTAGATGGCAAATCTCCCACAGATCTGTCAAATGGAGGTATTTATTTTTTTAACCTTTCTATGTCGTTCCAACCCATCTTACTGAGCGGTTCTTACGCTTATAAAGAATCATCACACATTTTTGAAACAATCTGATTTCTCCCCTCCCTCCCATTAAATGGCAATTATTTATGTAGCTTAATCATTCAGTCTAATCATTCAGGTTTTTATCATTCAGTGGGATCACAGTGTTTATCAAAACAGGGTAAAGTTTTCATGCAACCCAGTCTTATGCCTTTATCCAAGTTTTATTCTTTTATTTCTCTTCTTGCTTCACTGTTGGCTGCAATATTTCTGAAAAGCTTGGGTACAGACTCTGTGTTCTTTACATATTAGTGTAAGTTAAGTTCTTATTGAAGGAGTGTTATTTGAGCAGCAGCTCAAAGCATTGTGCTTTATACATACCAAAAAGTATCCAATACCCGTAAAAAGCATTTGGGGATTTTTCAGTTAAAAAAAAATACAAAAAAGGCAAATAATGAACTTCTTAGCTCTGAGAACACCCTTTGAACCACTAACTCCAAAACAAACTTTCTGTTAGAAGATGATCTGAACTTTGTCTTTTTGACCAGTGTAAAAGATCACTTGGAATCAACAGTAAAGTAGATCTACACGTGATGTTTTGACAAATGTTAGAAGCCATAGGCCAGCCCCCACCCCATTTCTTATTTGCTAAATTATTTGGGTATCCCGATGGTATTCTAGTTACACATTAGAGAGATTTTGCATTAAAAGCATTTTAGTACTGGTCAGGCTGACAACCTGCCATGATGATGAAATAATGTGCAGAAAGTAATCGCTGTACTTTAAGCCAGCAGATCCATTTGTATATATAATGTGAAACCTGTCCCCTTCTTTTATTAATAGCACCATGTGCAATTAATCCCAGAGCTCCCTAAATATGTTATATGTTGGTTTTGTACAAAGTCTGTTCAAAGAAAGAAAGTCTCCTAAACTGGCAAAAAGTGCTCTGGAATATTCGTCCCGTGATGCGAATGGTATTGTATACTTTTAACTAGATCACAGTGTCAGAAAAGAGAAAAAGAAATCTTCAAGATCACTTTCTTCTTCCACCATTGCCTTAGAGGACGTAGTGCAAAATCTGCCTGTTGTTCCACCTGAGGAGCTCTGCTCGCCAGTCCTTCCTCCTCCTTAGAATGAGACTTGAAAAACATCCCCAAAGCTAAGCACACAGTATGCAAGCAGCACTGAACTGTGTCTTTCTATTTGTTGCTAGTGTTCTCTACTGCCAGTCTCTGAGACCTTTGCTTGACGCTGGTTTCAAAGTAGAAAACCTTAGCATTCAAATCCCTCTACAACTCTCCAGGTAATTATTGTTCATAAGTGAAGAGACGCTTTTAAGAAAATCCAAAGAAATGCTAAAGATTAAAAAAGGAATGCAAAGGGAAATGAAAACTCTTTGCCTACAGCTGCAGTTCCTCTTAACAAAAAGTTAGGTATATGTTTTGTTACTGAATTTTGTTTCTGTCTTCCTGGCATGATTTTAGTGCAGTAATTTGGGTTAAATGAATGATAACAATGAAACTCAATGAAACTTTTCTTCTTTAACTCCAGATTTTCTTGTTTTGCTTGGGGGCTTTCCAGATCTGCCTAAAAATAAGGGTGCTGCTGATAAGTACAATGAAGGCTACAACATATGATTGTTCTTACTGCCTTAGCTGAGCAGGAAGATAGTGCTGTAATTAAAATCTGTAATTCCAATGTTCCAGATATAGCATGTACCTAGTTCACTGACATTTCTGTCTACCTTCACATTAGCATCATGTGATCCAAGTATGTTGCTTGTAAGGAATTACTGGTAGTATAATTGCACGCTTGGACATACCTATATTTACATGTTGCACTACAACAACAAAGCCAACGTAAAATTTCATTTTGTGAGTTACGACACAGACATGCTTAAATCAGATAAGTGTCATTTGTAAATTATTGAAGACATAATTACTTTGTAACCAATCAAGCCACATTTCACCAGTACTTCTCATTCATG